GGCTAGGTATTTTGTTCCAGCACTGAGAAAGGTAACTAATATAATCAGCCATTAAGAAAACACAAACCAACAGCACAATGAGAACCCACCCCATGCTACAATCAAACAGACAGCAAGTGCTGCACGAAAGCAGAGGAACTAAAACCCACAGATAGACACTGCTAGTAAGGAGGTAAAATGGTGTAGGTGCTTTGGCCAACAGACTGGCAGACTCGCAAAACATTAAGTATAGCTACTGCATGACCCAGAAATTCCAAACCTACACATCTGCCGAAAAGAAACAAAAATATATGAAGACTTGTATGCTGCTGTTCACAGTAGCTACTCGTTTTTTAAATGCCTTAATGAATATCCATCAATATAAAAAACCCAAATTCTTGTCAATAAAGTGGACACACAAATTTGGTTATTCACACAATGAAACGTAATGCAGTAAAAAGGGACAAAATACTAACTACTTGCTACAATGTGAATGAGCTTCTAAAACATTCCTAGGCAAAACCAACCAGGAAAGTCCACATAGGATTCCAATCACAGGAAAGGTCCAAATAAGGCATGTCTGTACAGGAATTTAGTAGCAATGTGTGAAGTGTGGGAGTGGAAACACAGAAGAAGATAGGCACAATGCTGCTTTAAACTACTGCATGTCTGTGTCACTCTGTAAATTTATTGAAAACAAGCTGTAAGCTCAATATGAATGAAAGTTATGGTAAATAAGTCCCAATAAAGTTTTTTAAAAATAAAAACACAGCCCGGTAATTCCAGCACTGGGGAGACTGAGGCAGGAGGCTCATTAGTTCCAGTTCAGCTTGGGCTAGAGCCTATCTCAAATAAACAAACCAAAGAGTACAGTTAGAAACCAGTTTTTTGAAAAGTGTGATCTCTTAAAATATGTAAATGTGCACTGATCACTGGATCCCTTGGCTGGTTATTACACTGAGAAAGTGAGAAAGGACTGACGTTCCTTTAGTCACAAGAACTTCCTTCGGCGAATTAAATTAGTTCAGTTATTTGAACGAAGCAAAACAAAGCAAAGATGTCTTGTGAGCAGGCAGCTCTTAGAGGCAGCGAGCTCTGAGAACTCCACCATCAGGCCAGGTAGCATGTAAGTAACAGAAAGCAGATGTGAAGACCTGAAGCAATTTAACTGGCTACCAGTGTAGTCAGGCCAACAGTCACTGAGTTCCAGCTCACCTGGTTAATAGCTTATAGCTCAGTTATCACCACAGGGCCTTCCACAACCAACCCAAGTCCAGCTACTGTGATTAAACTCTATTGATTTAGGCTGTTGGGCCAAATCCGTCCACTCCCACAGCTTTTATTGAACAGAATGGTCTTCAAATAAGAAAGAACTAATTTGTCCTAAATGAAAAGGCACAATTGGAGCTCTCACTTCATCTTCTGCCCAGTTACAACTGTTTAAACCTGATTATTTCTACTGAGAATCCACTTATTCTCTCCAGCGAGAGGATTTACAGGAAGGACCAAGAAATGTTCAAAATTAAGTCAGTTCCTACAAGGCAGCTGCAGAGGGGCAAAATGTCCAGGAAAACAATCTTTTATTTAATATTGTTTAAAATACAGTCCTTTAAAAGCTATTTTTTTAATTCTTTTATTTCTGTGCATACCTACGTGTAAGTGTATACTACATGTTTCTGGTGCCTGGGGAATCTAGAAGAAGGTGCTAGATCCCCTTGATGGAGTTACGGGTGGTTGTAAGCCACCTAACCTGGGTGCTGAGAATTAAAGCCAGGTCCTCTAGCAGAGTGGAAAATGTTCTTAAATGCTGAGCCATCTCCCCAGCCCCCCAAACAATCCTTTAAAGGAAGTCACCCAAGAAGGTGGAAATTTCCGATGGGGGACGGGGTGTCAGGAAAAATAAACTTAATGCCTCAACAAATTACACAGTTTTATTAATTTTATTTTTTATTTTGTGGGGGTGTGGTTGTACACATGCCACAGCACACGTCTGGAGGTCAGAGGATAACCTATGGGAGTTGGTCTTCTCCTACTACGTGGGCTCTCAGAATCAAACTCAGGTCGTCAGACTTGGCGGCAAACACCTTTACCCTCTGACCCATCTTGTTGACCCTTAAATATAATTTTTAAAAGCACCCTTGTCCTGATTTCTCCTTTTCAGAATTCCTTCAGAACAGATGCAGTAAACCTCTGAGAAGACAGTTACAGGCAGAAAAAAGTCCTAATTAGGATATGTCAAGAAACTATAATTATCAATTGGTCTAATTAAAATGAGTAGCTGAACGTGCCTTAGGAACATGAACTTCCTCAGGTGAGACATTTGCATTTTATTTCTTATAAATCCCATTAGCAAAGCCTAGCAGATTATGTGAACAGGATGGTTGAAACTGAGACTCACTTACTCAACTCCTGGAGAAACAGAAGTACTGTCCCTCAGGGATATCACCTCCGGTGGGGATGGTATTTTCATTTCATTTGGGGGACAGACAGCTCACTGGGGACTGTGAGCACAGTGTAAACTACGGGCGTGGCTTGAGTTAACTGAACTCCTCGGATGGTCGTGTGAGGTCTGTCTCTACAGACAGAGTAACTGGACAGCCCCGCGGCACTGTGAGTCGGTAGCTCAGCTTGTACTCACACACATTCTGTGGCACCGGACACCATGTGCCTTCCTGCCTAAGCCTTCCTGGCAGGTTTAGGTGCCAAGACTGGCTGCTGGTTTTTCCAGAATTCCTGGCTGTTTCTACTTTTGGATCTTTGATGTATGCTACATTCTTCTGATTGTAAACACACAGCACAGACAACACACAGGCACTACCCACTGTGGCACACTGTCCCCCTTCACAATAACGCCTCCAAAATCTTAAAGCAATGAACCCCATCCCTACTTCCCTAAATGTTCTGAATTCCAGATGATATCTCAAACCCGCTCTCTGACGCCAATCAACGCCCCCACCCCCTCACCCCCATCCTAGCCATCAAGCATGGCCAAGTACTTACAATCCTGACTCCTCCCACTGCGGTGGCTACTGGGTGCCAGGGATTACTATTGGGTGCCACAGCTCTGGGCCTAGATTTGCAGCCTGAGGACTGGGAATTTGTCACCCCTTCTTTTTCTATTCCCCACAACTTACTAGAGTGTAAATGAGACATGATAAGTGTTTCTCAGACTTCAACAGGAGACTCTCCTGTCTGCTGGAGGGAACATGGATGGTATAGCCCTCTGGAAGGTAACACCCAGTAAATCTGGGAGTAATTACATCCTATAACCCACACCCTTGCTCCTGAAGAAATTCTCCTATGTGTCTTAGAAGAAGGCTTATTACGACATTGTTAACAAGAATGAAAAGCAAATAACCAAATGATCATTGTACCAGTCAGGACCAAGGAAGAAACAGTTAACATACTAAAATTAGGAAAATTCCTGGGTCATCTTCAAAGGGATTATTTGGGATGGCTGAATGTAAAGAAACTATGAGGGCCAGTTTAGCAGCCAAAGACAGAGCCACTATCACTCAGATGCCTCAATCTGGAAAAGGAGTCTGAGAAAACAGACTGCTGAGAGAAGCAGGGCTTTCAGGGGAGGAGTACAGCCCTCGAAAGGGAACCCTGGAAGGACACCAAGTGCCGGAATAAGTGTGCTGGTGTTCTGTTTTCTCTTTGCCCTGATCTCCTGTGGGAGCTCCCCATTGGCGGAGTCTCTTCCTTGCCCAGCTCTAAAGCCTTCCTAAGGAACAGGGCAAAGAGTTCACTGCTGTGTGTCCATAGACGTCACTCTCATAGAGCACTGTGGGAGAAAGAAAATTGGAGACAGAAAGAGAGAAGAAAGATACCAAGTTGGAGAAGACTCAGCATATCCAGTTACAAAATGTACAACACATATACTCAATCAATGGAATACTGCCCAGAAAGGAAATAAGGAGAACTACTTACAGTAAAATGGATGCATCTCAAAAACATACAGGGAAAAAAGAAACAAATAAAAAACAAGACACATTAAAAATTGTAGAAAATGGCACCATAGCAGATTGTGTTTTCCCCAGTCAACCACAAGTGGATTTTTGGCCATGCACTCATGCAGAACATTGAGTTGCAAAGAGGGAAAAGCACCAAAGACCTATGAGAGAACTGGAGGATTGATGTACTTTGGCTGGGCAACCAGAGGCAAGACTAGGGAAATGAACTTGAAAACAGGATGTGAAGGCTGAGACGAGCCAGACTTTCCCGTCCCACAGGGACCGTGAGAGCAGAGAAGAGCAGGTGCCAAGGCCTCCGGGGTTTGGAACCGGCCTGATTCTTTTTAGAGCAGTTCAGGCAAATTAGAGGCAGGAGAACGAGGCAAGAAAGGATTGCAAGAGTCAAGAAAGGAGAACTTTCCTGTGATTCTAAGCTAAGTGCCGAGAGGAATCAACCCCAAAGACCCAAACAAAACAGAGGGGTACAGGAACCATTCGCGTTCCCTGAGTAGCTCAAGGCCTAGCACCTGTGTTCCACCGTGGGCTACAGAAATATTCTGAATGTGTTAACGCTCCCTTTGAGGCTAAGACCAAGATCCAAGAACGTCACCAGGACCCGGACAGCCTTCCCTCTCTACTGTTATAACAAACAGCCGCAATCGTGGGGTACAAAACACAATCTTACAAGTCACAGCCTCTGACACACACACCCCGCGCTTGTCAGGTGCCTCTCAAAAGCTCGCCTCCCATAACCACGGGGGCCAGTTCTACGGATGAGGAAGTCGAAAGACAGGTCCCACGGCAGAGCCAAGGCATCTCCACCCGACTTCCGTTTCTGGTTCTTTTTTTTTTTTTTTTTTTGCTTTTGCTTGCAAGGTCAGGGTAAGGCCAGGGTAGAACCCAGCACCGCGAGGAAGGCGCAACCCCTACAGAGGTCCCCTGGTGCCGTGTGTGCAACCGGCGAAGCGGTCCGGCTGGAAGTGTGCCCCGTGACCGGAAGGTTCCCGCGCGGAAGGTTCCGCAGCTCTGAAGTGCCCCCTTCCCGGGCGAAGAGCCAAGCAGTACCTGAGGAAAACGCGTCCAGGGTCCTGCCCCGGGCTCTGTGGAAAACATCCCCCGCCTCCGCAGATGACATGGCGAGCGACTTTCTGGTCTTGCCTGGGCACGTTCTGTGGGAGGAGGGAGCGACTCCTCACCGCCGGGCAGCCCCGCCGGAACAGTTTCTGGAACCTGCCCTCGGCTCCCAGAGGGACTGGCGGGGCGGGGCCGCTCCGGTGCGGCTAGTGCTGCCTGGGAAGGACAAGGGACATGCTGCCCCTCTGGGATCGACCCGTGCGCCTGGTCAGGGTCCCACTTGCACAGGGGCAGACTTGGTGTTGACGCGGGGAGACCTGGAGTTGCCATATTTAACAAGTATAGGGCCACTTCGTAATTTGGAATTTCAGATTGAAAACAAGAACAGCAAAAAAGATACAGTATAAGTATATCCCATACAATAGTTGGGAGATACTTATGCTGTTTTGTTTTGTTTTGTTTTTTTTTTAAATATTGTTTATCTAAAATTCCATTTCAATTTGTTGCCCTAGCTTTTGCAGCCCTTCCAAGCTGCCCACAACCTCGGGGGCTTTAAGGCATCTTGACTGCCTGGACATTGCCACTGTTAACATGTCACTTTTCTTTTGCTGTGCAGCGGGCATTGCCCTTAACATATTGTGTTTAGCTCAATACCTCATTGGCTTCATTTGGCAGGTGGGGAAACTGACACTCAGAGAGCTTACAACCCTTGAAAATTAAGAGCTGCAGGCGAGCAAGGCAAGCTGGCATCTGCCCTGCACAAAAGCCATCACACGCGACCACAGCCCTCATACTTGCTACCAATTCCGATGTCAAGGCTGAAATGTTGAATTCAGATCTCCAAGAAGAGGATGTTTTGATCAAGCTCTACAGAGGTAACTTAGGCCAAGTTTGTGAAATTCTCTTATCGACAAGTGGCCGACACCTGGAATGTTTTTGTGGTTAGTGGAGCCAGGATGACTGTCCCATGACCTTGAGTCAGATATAGGTCATAGTGATTCAAGACAGAAATGAGCTCATGTCTCCGTACTTGGGTTCATCCTAATACTACCACTTACTGTAGGTATGACCTTCAAAATTACTTTGTATCTCAGTTTTCCTACCTATCAAATGAGAACAATACCTAGGGTTATAGCGGTGATTTCTCAACCTTCCTAATGCTGCAACCCCTTAATACAGTTCTTCGTGTTGCAGTGACCCCAACCATAAAATTATTTTGTTGCTACTTCATAACTGTAATTTTGCTACTGTTATGATTGTAATGTAAATATCTGATATGCAGGTGCTCTTAGGTGACCCCTGTGAAAGAATCATTTGACCCCTAAGGGGTTGCGACTCACAGGTTGAGAACCACTGGGTTATAGGGTTGGTGAGAAACTTAGATGATGTTATGATTTGAACATAAGATGTCTCTCTTAGGCTCTGTTAACTCCACTGGTTGGGAATAAGACCACTACCAAAATTTAAAGCCAAATCTGAAATGAGCTTTAATTAATTACTGATCAAAATGGGCTCTGGCCAGATTCATCTCTGGGTTCCCAGGAAATAGTCACGAGTCACTTTTTTGCAGGAGCTTAAAGAGGCAAAACCTCTAATTTACTGCATTTTCCATCAGGTCCAGTCAGAGGCACACATACATCCTACCATTATTTCCTGCTCAGGTACCTCCTGCCCTCTGTGATCAGGCACACTCAGTGCAGATCGATCAAACGAGCACAGGACAAACAGGAACTTATTCTTAACTGCAAACAGAACTCTTAACCTGCAAGGTAAATGTTTCCTGTTTTGGTCTCCCATTTACTTAGGAAGTATCACAGCCCATGCTGGACAGTTCACCCCAGTCACTGACAGTGTTTTTGGAGGTTCAGAAGATGGCACCAGGTCGGAGAAACAAGTTCTTTTGGAAAGTATGTCTTAGGGATAATCTTGTTCCTAGCCACTTCCTGCTGCAGCCTACTTCTCGTCCACTGTAAGGTGAGAACATCCTCTGCCATGTACTCCCACTTTCGTGATGTTCTGCCCAAGTGCATGGCCCAAGCATCTGAACTGTCTGAGACAGTGTGCTCACACAAGTCCTTCCTCCAGAAGTGTTTTCTGTCATAGCAATGAGCAAAGGAACAAGAACCAATGCATTTGTATGTCAAAGTGCTTAAAATAATAGCTCTAATGGCAAGGAGTGAGTAACCGAGGTATGTTAGCCATGGTTATTACTGCTAATCATTATACCTCTGTTGCCCACATACAACCTGGACTTAAGGAGGGATCTGAGAAAATGTACAAAGTGGAAATGAGTGGCAGTCCAAGCCCTAACTTTACCAAGTGGTCCAGCCCCAGCCTTGTTCTCAGGCAGTAACTTTTGTAGCCACAGGTCTCTCAGTTCACTAACATGTAGATACAGTTCTTCCTTTGCACAGCCCATTTGAGTGGGGCCTTTGGAAAAGGAGAACTGTTACCAGGGGTGGATTGGGAGGAAAGGGGTAGATTTTAGAAGGGTGGAAGTCACTGGCTGGAATGCTACTCCACCCCATGATCATCCTTATAAGGAAACAGAATAAGCAATCTATTTGACTGTCTTAAACAATAGGCCATCCCATCTTTCTCAAGAAAGCAGTGTTGAGATCTCTTTTCAGGAGGATGGAGTGTCCTGTCCTCAGCGTGTAGTTGGGTAACAGTGACATCAGCTCTTCCTGAGGGGTTCCTATGGCTGGAGCCAATAGAAACATGCCATCTACTCTTCTCAGCTTGTGTTGTGTAGCGATTCCTTCCAAGTTGAAAACATTACATCCTAAAGGGTAGCTCCTGTCCTGGGCTGTGTGAGGGCCTCCCTCCATGAAGCAAGCAGAACAATTGTCTTCATTCACACTCCAGGGTATGAGGCAGCTAGCTGAGCATTTAACACTCTCTTTCTACGTTTTGTAGACCATTTGTCTCCTCCTTGCAACTGGGTTATGCGTATTCACCCTTACTGTTCCAGCACCCGCCACAGCACACCCTTCCGTCTACCTCCCTCCGTTGTTTCTTGGTTGCCCGTGAGCCACCTTGACTTCTTTCCTTTCTTTCTATCTCTCTTTCATTCATTTTTTCTTTTTTCCTTTCTTTCCTTTTTTTTTTTTTTTTTTTTGGTTTTTTGAGATAGCATTTCTCTGTGTAGCCCTGGCTGTCCTGGAACTCCTTCTATAGACCAGGCTGGCTTCAAACTCACAGAGATCTCCCTGGCTCTGCCTCCTGAGTGCTGGGATTAAAGGTGTGCGCCATTATGCCTGGCTACGCTGGATATTTCTGAATTGGTGATTTTGGATGAGTTTGTATTTACCTATGGACTTTGCAATTTTACTTCCCATAGTGTGGTGGGCATCGTATTAGTTGCTGTCTTAGTCAGTGTTCTATTGCTGTGAAGAGACACATGACCAAGGCAACTCTTATAAAGGAAAAGATTTCATTGGGGTGGCTTACAGTTCAGAGGTTCAGTCCATTGTTATCATGGCAGGAAGCACAACATGGTGTTGGAAAGGGAGCTGAGAGTTCCTTGTCTGGACCTGCAGGCAGCGGAAAAAGAGAAAGACTCTGGGCCTGACTGGAGCTTTTGAAATCCCAAAGCCCACCTCTATTGACACATTTCCTCCAACAGGGCCACACCTACTCCAACAAGGCCACACCTCCTAATCCCTGTCAAATAGTGCCACTCCCTGATGACCAAGCCTTCAAATACAGAAGCTGTGGGAGGCGTTACTCCAACCACTACAGTTACCTTTCTCCTTGCTGTGGATGTGACAGTTTGTATGAGAAATGTCTCTATAAATCTCAGGTGTTTGAATACTTGGTCCCCAATTGATGGCACTGTTCGGGAAGCTTAGGAGATGGGGCCTTGTTGAAGGATGTATGTCACTGGAGATGGCCTTTGAGAGTTTAATGGCTTATGCCATTCTGAATCTGCTCTGCTTCCTGCTTGCCATTCTAGATGTGAGCTCACAGCTGTTGCTGCCATGATGTCCCTCTGGAACTGTAAGCCCAGAAAAAAACAAAAAAACAAAAAAACAACAACAACAAAAAAAACCCTCCTTCTATAAACTGCTTCTGGATATGGTGTTTTAATCACAGCAACAGGAAAGTGACTAAGATACTGGACAAGAAGCAATTCAAGTTAAAAAAATGTTCATTTTGACTCACAATGTGAAGCAGGGAAAGTGTGGAGGCAGGAATGTGAGGAGCTGGTTGCATGGCATCTGCGGTCAGGAAACAGAGGCAACTGGTCACATGGCATCTGTGGTCAGGAGGCAGAGAGAGCTGGTCACATGGCATCTGTGATCAGGAAGCAGAGGGAGATGGATGCTGGTGCTTGGCTCACTGGCTCCTTTTCATTCAGTCTAAGATTTTAGCCCATGGATGATGATATTCAATATTTAGCACAGGTCTGGCTTCTTGATTCAGTTAACCTACTAGAGAACACCTCACAGGCCTGCCCTGAGGCTCGATTCTAGATCCTGTCAAGTTGACAGTCAGTATTAATCATCACAGACCTCATTCAGTCAGTCAGGGGGCTAGATGGAGAAGAGACTGACCTCTTCCCAAGCAAGAGGAATTCAGCCCCACAGACAGCCTTTGAACTTAAAGTGAGAATCAGTGCTTTTTCCAGAGTCTTCAGTGCTCATCTTGGGGTCATCAGCCTGCCAGACCACAGGTAGCTTCCATAATCACATGAGCAAATTCCTTCAAATAAGCCCACTTACAGATTATTGGTTCTGTTTCTTTCAGTACAGACTATAAGAGATTTTTCTTCTAAAATGCTGAAATCCCAGAGTTGGGGGCATAGTTCATGTTGTTGTCATCTGGAATGAAGGGTAATATCCTCACAGAAAGTGCAAAGAGCAGTGTGTCTCTTCAGTTCTATGCGTAGACATGCCCTTCAGCCTTACTCAGTACTGCCTTACACAGGGCATGGTTGGAGTCATGACAGAGGGAAGCCCAGAAGTAGCACAGAGTTTTCACTTCTGCAAATTTGGTCTCTGCCATGTACATGTATGCACATGTGTATATTCCTGTCTGTGTACATGTGCATGGATATGTATGCCATGTGCATGGTGGCCAGTGGGCAACAGTTAAATTGTTCCTCAGATGCTGTCCTACTCTTTCTCTTTTTGTTTTGTTGTTGTTATTTGTTTTGTTTTTAAGCCAGGATCTCTCACTGGTCCAGAGCTCACTAAGTAGGCTAGAGTATGTGGCCAGTGGACCCCAGAGATTTACTTGTCTTTGTCCCTCCTTTTCTGGGATTACAAGCACATAGCACTAGGGCAGCATTTTTTTATGTCAGAGTTGGGATGGAATTCAGGTTCTCATGCTTGTAAAGCAATTTCTTAAGCCATTTACCCAGCCCCTGATCTGTTTTCTGGTTTTGTTTGTTTGTTTTGGTATGTGTTTTAAGGGAAAAGCAAATAGCTTGTTTTTTAGAACTAGAAATGCCATGTGTGCCTGAAAACAGCAGCCACAACAACAAAAAATTAGGGATCTTTGTTTTGTTTGGCTCTGCAGTTTGGAAATAGGATCTCAGTATGAAGCACAGGCTGGCCTTCTATCCTCCTGTCTTCTCCAGAAGGCCGAGATTACAGGCATATGCCACCGTGCCTGGCTTACTTTTAATTTAGCATTTCAGTGATAATGCTAATGGGTTGATAGTAATAACACTCCACCTCTCATTAGATATGTTTTTGAAGACTTCCAAATTAGACCTGTATTCCTCAGCAGTAATGGGATTTCATGCCCTTGCTCCCTTTAGGAATCTCTTGAACCCTCTTCAGTGAGCTTACCTGTTTCTCTGTTACGAGAAATAAAACTATTTTGAGTATCATAATATATAGGGTTTTTTTTTTGGCAGCAAGGGACTCACATGCTTTTATTTTTTTTATGAACAAATATATTAAAGATGAATAAATTTTGCCACAATCTTAGTGCTTTTATTTCTTCTTAATTTGCAGGCATCTCACCAACTCCGCAGCTTCCAAATGCGAGATCTTCCAGTTTAACCATGCCTATATGCCTTGCTATTCTGCCCTATAGTTTTTTTATAAATTATCTACTAAGATATTCATATACCTTTTTTCCTTTAATTACCAAAACAAAATAAATTTTCACTTCTTTTTAAAGTTGAGCCCACAGAGCCTGGGGTAATTTGCCCAGAGTCACCCATCATTTCTCAAGATGGCAGAGCTCAGATCCCTCTTCCTGTTTCTTGCACTTTGGTTTCAATTTCACGCCACTGCCCTTTAGAACTCTTCTATGCTGACCTTCTTTCTTTCCTATGTTTTGACCGTAGAGTTTCTTAAGTCTGTTTCTTTTGAAAGGCTCTCACTATGTTGCCCACATTGACTTAGAACTCCTAAGTCCAATCGATCCTCTTGTTTCCACATCCCAAGCTCTAGGACTACAGGTATATATCACCCACACCCAACATGAGTTTCTTAATACTTATCTTTGTGAATGTGCATCCATTTGACATCATCATTTAATTATCAACCAGTAGCTGGCTTATCTCTAAGGTGCTGAGTCACAACCTGAAGTTGCAATCACATGACAGTGTTTATTCTACTTGCTGTAAATACTGTGGACTGAGGCAAAGCCATTAATCCCACTGAGTTCTGTTTATCTTGCCTGTAAAATGGACTTCTCGTGTTTAACTACAGAGTTGCTTGGAGGATTTGGTGACATGGAGTATTTAAGGCATGTATGTTGTATATGGTAATTGTTCAATAAATGGCTTGTTGCGGTTGCTGTTTTGAAAGCCACCAATGGCCTTTCAGTGGGGCACAATCCTCAAGTCCCTTGGGCACAGAGGCAGGCAGGATCCTGATATTCAGAAGCTTTTTCATCTAGTAACTTGAATTTAATCAATCCATGTGGGTTTCTATTTATCCACCAATCTCCTTTTCTATCTCCCTGCATTGTGTAACACTCCCTTGAAAGGATGATCAGAGGTGCTGGTTACTCTCAAATCTTTTTTTTTTTTTCATCATGAATAGTGACTCCATCCCCCTAAAAATCATCTTAGTGTTTTTATATTTATTAAATTTGGTGATACAAAGGTCTTGCCTCCTTTCTTGGTGAGAATAAAGGAAAACACTTTCTCACCATAAACCAATCCTCTTGATTTAAGTGTCCATCGACTATAATTTAAGCTTTCTGTAGAGGTACAAGCTCCCCAGAGAGCTTAGAAGATAGCAAAAATCCAGAACAGACCATCTCAACACAGAAAGCCCTTAATCAATTACAGGATGGATCTAACTTGAGTTTTATTCTTGATTAAACTTGTTGATGTTTACCATCCTGAGAGCAGACAGCATGTCCACCTCAAAGGTCATCAATTCCATATAAAGTTTCCCAATGAGAGTAACTTAGATTAAACTAGAGACAAAGAAATCTTTTAAAGTTATAAATATATTCAGAAACTTTGAAGAAGACACAAATAAACACCTAAACTATTGTGTAATATTAGTTGAAGATGTGTTACATTTATTTTTGCTATGGAACATTTATTTGATGATGCAAAGATGTGTTGCATTCTTTTATGCTGCATTTGTTTAACTCTGTGAAGCTGTGTTACTTTGCCTGTCTAAAACATCTGATTGGTCTAATAAAGAGCTGAACAGCTAATAACAAGGCAGGAGAAAGGATAGGTGGGGCTGTCAGGCAGAGAGAATAAGTAGGAGAAATCTGGGAAGAGAAGATGAAGGAGTGAGAAAAGGAGGAGAGCAGGATGCCAGAGGCCAGCCACCCAGCCACCCAGTCACCCAGCCACCCAGCCACCCAGCCACCCAGCCACCCAGCCAGACACGGAATAAGAAGGAAAGAGATAGACAGAAATAGAAGAAGGTAGAAGCCCAGAGGCAAAAGGTAGATGGGATAATTAGTTCAGAAAAGCTGGCTAGAGATAAGCCAAGCTAAGGGCTAGGCATTCATAAGAAAGAATAAGCCTCCATGTATTTATTTAGGAGCTGGGTAGTGGACCCCCAAAAGAACCAGAGTCAAAGAGTCAAAAATACCAACAACACTAAACAAAGAGGATAGGATAAATCCTTCAGTGACTTCCAAGAGAACAAAAACATCTGAATGAAAATAAAAAAGACAATTCAGGAAAATTGGAGTCAATAAAGAGAAACATTTCACAAATATAAATGAAGCTGGAAATTAAAAGGCCAACAAGTCCACTACAAAATTCAGTGGAAGGCCTCACTTGTAGAATGGGATGAGGAACTCAGTGGAAGGCCTCACCTGTAGAATGGGATGAGGAACTCAGTGGAAGGCCTCACCTGTAGAATGGGATG